ACTTTTTGGCATAAACCTTACCAGACTTAAAATTTTTCATCTTGTTCATTGATCAATGGAAAGGTATGTGTGTCGAAGCTATTTTCCGGGATTTTTAGTCGTGATCTTCAGGTTTTCATGTTCAACGTTTCGTCTACTTCTGTGGTACACATTATGGAAAGCGATGAAGTAACGGTCGATGTACTCGAGTTTTTCTTATCGCAGAAACTGCAATTTGTATCCGGTTTTATACCATAATTGATGGATGTTGCTTCATTTGCCCAACTGGGAAATGACTCTGTAACAATGACGAAAGACTCTGTGAACAATGAGGACTCGAAATAGTGGATGAATATCAGACCACGCACATGCCAAAATACCAAGGTCATAACCTTTCCGGCCAGTTGTGCTTTCTAGGGCTTTGGAAGAGGTTCACCAGTTACTCTCCACTCAGATGACGATCGTTTCGATTCCGGAGTGGAGTGATAGATTCATGTTTCATCCATTGTCACATATTGACGCAAAAATTCCGCTGATAACCCCACGTAGATTGATTTTCTTGGGATAGGCTTGTTTTGTTCACACAAATGAGTTTTTCAATTACTCTTGATGAATTTACATGTATACGAATGAACATTATCATGATTATAAGTATTATCATCAATGATATCGAAATAACCGTGGGTTGAGCTACTTATCGGACGCGTCCCCAGGTGGCGGAAAGGGAAACGGCCAAGGGAGTTAAGGACCTGCCCGGGAAGCCAATGTGACCTTATGGACGGGGTCGCTGGACTCCTGATCAGTGGAAAAATGAGTAGGGTGAGGAAAACTGAAACTCCTCAAAAGCCTTTGCAAACCATGCCACTGTGGATCAGTCTATCCAAGCTAGGGTGTAAGAAATCGTGCCGAGACCTGAATGGCCGCTGGGTGATATGCGGTTACGGACGATCTCTTTGGAGAACTGGACGAAACTTTATTGTAATCAGCCTACCTCTGGTAATGTGGGGCTCTGCCACAGGTGACCAACCCTTCCCTTGCTACTCGTATGAACACACATGAATGAAACAAACACAAAAACAGAAACAACAAAAACAATAACCAAATCTAAGGCTGGGCAGAAGTGGTCACCTCAATCTAAGACGGTGGCTGAGGATGAACAGAAATGACCACCCCAATCTACCGCTTGGAATGAGGTTGGACATAGCAGATCACCTCGTGATGTAATACAAAGGCCAAGGCGTAAGCGCATTTGCGGCGCCGAGGCCAAAAGAAGAAAGAGAGCGAAGGAGGTAGTAGTGGCAGGAACTACAAGTGCACCCTTCTCTTCCCCCACTCTACCTCCAACAGCAAGGGAACTTCTTTCGGTGGGCGCCAAGAGCTTCGCCTTGAATAAAGGCAAGGAACCAGCTGCCCCTGCAGGTAAGCTCCCTCACTTGTGCACCTTCACGGAAGGAACTCCAAAAAGGTTGAAGAAGCCGTACAATGACAGTAATGCCGCTGCACCTTCCAAAACCTTCGCGGACGCCACCGTGAGACACCTCAAGGTTGCCAAAGAGAGTGTGTGTTCGGCGAGTCTTGGCCTACACCTGCGAATATAAAGGAGATGTCTCCTAGTGACCTGTCCACCTTCCTGGAAAGGACAGGATGGACGATGACCTAGGAGGACAACTCATCGGGAGGATGTACAATAGGTCACATGTGGCCTAAGTGCTGTTGGTCTACACTTTCCCTCCCTACTCTACAGATACAGATACAGACTATCGAAATATCTCAATTTTCACCACTTTGAACACCTAGACCTAACAGCTGAACTTCGAAAGATAGCATATACAAGTAGTTTTTGTAGATTTAAATTTTCGGTATAATTTCCTGCTTCGACTGCAGAATTGCGAATCTTTTGGAAATGCATAATATACTGTATATAGGAATATAGGCTTTCACGATTGACCTCAATGTTTCGATCTTTGCCGTGGTCTTCTTTGGGTATAAACTCCAAACGTCTCAACTGCAACTGCGGCAGTCATCTTCAGTGGCCTGGTCGAAGTACTCTTCTTGACGTGTCAACTTGACACGTCAATAGAAAAAGTACACTGTGTATCACAAAAAAACATTGTTGCATGTAGCATTCACGGTAACATTGATCTGGTGAAGTATGAAATCACGAAGTTATTGAACACTGGGCTATTTTCAGTACATCATGATATATTAAGAGATATCTATTTGTATACACACGATTTATTTCATTGTGACTGACACCTTTTCCATTATACAATGTCCCTTCCGTCAATGACCACACAATTTATGTACTGTACAAGCTTCTATTTTAGGTAAAAAGCGACAATGGCATATCACCCTGAAACATTTCATCATCAATCCCAAAATACTTTCCTGAATGTAATATACCAGCAGTTGTGTAACTCAGATAACGGGATGGACAATAGTTTTGACACGTATTATTGAGACACACTGAAGAAAGACTATATAGGGGAATTCACTATCACGTTATACAGGTTAATAATACAGTTATGTTTTGTTATGCATTCGAGAGTACTTAAGGGTAGTCAATGGATTTTCCAGTTTGTTGAATACTCAAAGGTATTCAAAGGAATTGGCCTTTATTCATATAGAGTATTGTCAGATATTCAGTTGTCATTTCACAGAAACATTATTGTTGAGGAGCTACTTGAAATTGAGATGTTGTTTTATTCTGAATAAGTTGATGAATAAAGGCAAGTCATGCTTAAAAGTAATCAAACATTATCGAAAGGAAATACTTTACAAGCAAGCAGATATTACTAGTGAATGGTTTTTTGAAAAAAAAAATAATATCTTCGAAAGTTTTGGGTGAAACGAAAATGTGAGTTTTCTATATGGATCTCAGCAATTCCCTTAATAAAACCTCCATTGTAGGACCTCTATTTATTGATCAAAATTCAACAGTGAAACTGTATTTGAATATGCTGGAAACTACTGTTGACCCTCTCATCAATGAAATCGTCGAAGCGAAACCTGATGAATTCGATATGGATATTGTATGCCAACAAGATGGAGCACCACCACATTACTTCAGACAAGTAAGAAACTATTTGGATACTACGTTTTCCGGTCGTTGGATTGGTCGTCGAAATCCTACAGAATGTCCAGCCCGCTCGCCAGATTTGACACCTTTGGACTTTTTTCAAGAGGACATTCGAAGCAAAAGGTGTACGAAACTGAACCTGCTCCAATATTGGATATACGGTAGAGAATAATACATATTTGTAGAGATATTGACATTACTGTGTTCGAAAATGTTCGGCGTGAAATATCGTATAGGCTGTTCATATGTCAAGAAGTTTGAGGCAACCATTTCAAGCATCATTTGAACTCACCTCATATCATGCAGTTAAATGTCAATGTATGCAGGCAATTATTAAAAAATCCGCCATTTTGTAGTAGTTGAAGATATTGACATTATATTCTAGGGTTGTGAAGCATTCGTCACGAGCTTCAGAATGATGTATCACAAGACCCCCTTTTTTGTTCAATTTTTTCCCAGATGGCATCCAGTCGCCATTTCCAAAGTTTCATCTGTCAATTTCACTTCAAAATGAAGTATTCATGCATTCATTTCATTATCCAAATTTCAAATTTTTGAGTTGACACGTCCAAAAAATAAAAAAGGGGGGGAACATTAGAGAAAAGCACTGTATATAATACATTTTCAATACAAATCAAAACTGCTCTTGAGAAAATATTCAGTCAGTCAAAGTAGAAATACATGATTTTCATGTAGCCAGAATCATCTGAATATTTTATAATTGATTATCCTACTCGTATTTCTTTTGTTCAGTTATTTATAATTTTTTATATTTCAGTTTTTAATATCTATTCATAAATATAATGTCCACTGCTCAAATCAATCACTTTCTTGTTCAATATTTCATTATTTTGTTAAATTTGTATCTTGAGTCAATTTAGTGTATCCCTATTCATGAACATACATAGTTTCTTGGAATGAAGAAGTCAATAATCACGAGAAAAAATTACCTATCGACACCACAAAGTAGAATCGAGATATGGAGTTACAAAAACACATGACAGTAAAACGAACGAAACTTTTGAAATAACCGAATACAAATTCCTGACAGTGAGGTGATTGAATATATGCTTTTTTCCATATATGTCATCAGTAATGAATATTAAAAATATCTTGACACTTGACAACAATGTGGATGATGAGTAGTCATTTCTAGACTTGATAGAAACAGGAGCTTATATTTACGGTACCAGTAGAAATTGACGCTACAACTGATTCTCAGGTGAATCTGTCTTTCAAACAGAGTTAGAATAAGCAACGGATATTAATTTGAAGCCTCAATAGAATGAAGGATCAATATTCTGACAGTCAGAAATAGATATTTTATACTGGGTGACTGTAGCGAAAGTTACGAGAAAGCTGAAGAGTCATCATGAATTCATTCATGAGAAATAAAAACATATCTTTTCTATAATCATTCGTCTTGAGCTGAATTTGAATTGAAGGCAAATACAGTTGAATGGCAGATGTATAACAAAAAACAAAATTCCATTATCTTGAGGTATCCGACACCACATTATACTCGTTTTATTTTCGCCAGACTTGTCAGAAGGTAATCCACAAATCGCGGTTATTTTGCTATATAAAGATTATGTTCTGCTGAACATACCAGAATTTGTCTGTGACAAGTCATTGCAACGTTAACCGTCAACATGTTCAAATTGGTGAGAATATTTATTTCATGTTCATTCAACCTTTTTGACTCCAAAAATTACTTTGCGCACGATCCATTCAGTGTTGATAACGGATATATTTGAATAATATTGTTGATAAAATGAAATGTTCAGACTCACAATAGGTAAACGATTGAACGATGAAAACATTTTTTTAATATTCCTTATAAATGGTGTTCTCATGATTTTTCAATTGACTCGTGGATTCGATTCGAACTCAGTCAAATTATTGCCCCATGGAATGTTGTTCATGGCTGAAATTGGGATGGTAGTTCCATTATAGAACAGCACATCCAATGATCAAACACTTGTCTTTATTCAATTTCGAATTGATTATAGGTTAGTCAGGTCAGGTTAGGTCCAAAGTAAATGGGTCTATTTAACCCTGCACCGCAACCCGCAAGGGTTTATTGTGGATCACACCTATTCACACTCGAACAAATAAAACCAGCCTCCAAAAGAAGCCGATTAGTTTGCATGGTGAGTGGTCTTTCAGGTCAGATGGTAAGAGTAAGGCTCTGCCGAACTCTAAAAACCTGATTCGGTCCTCAGATAGGCAGGCACAAAGTATATACTCTGCTGTTCCATCATTATTGAGGTAGTCAGATAGTCAAGGTGCAATATTGTCACCTTGATAACCTCGACAACCTTCCCATATGAGGGTTTTTGCACGTCAGCTACACCTGACGATGTCTTAGATTCAACCGTGCAGGGCTTTTTCGCCTCTGGTTTTGGTAAATCATCACTTGAGCACAAACGTTTGCTAACCTGCTCATTGGGGGTTTGTTCCTCCACTTGAGAAAGATTCTGCGTACGCCGGTTAAGAATTTGGTGCAAGGCGGTTTCATAAGGTACCCCGCTCTTGAGGAGACAACTCAGTCGTTTCCTGGCTGCAACACGAAACTTTTTTTTGTTCAGTTATTGGATCAGGAGTTGGAGACTTGAGAAGCTCTCGCTCCTGATCTAAACTTGTAGTAAGCTCGACATCCATCTCCTCTGTAGACTCTGCGTCAGAAAGAATTTGTAAGTTTACTCTGTCCATGAAAGTTCCACTAGTAGCTAGGGAAAGGAGGTCAATCACGGCAGAGCTCCGCATTACCGTGACATGGCGATGCTACGACGAGAGGTCGCCCGGTATCTCGAAGGTTCCGTAGAGACAGCTGATAGATAGATATAGATAGATAGATATATTTATTCGACAACTTTACACTCGAATGTTTGTTGCAAGTCAGTTAAAATATACAGAGAAAAAGAAAAAAAACTAGTCACAAGTTGAAAATATTGAATCATAAATTGTGAATAAAATGAAAGATAATTTTGAACATTACAATAATCAGTCTAAAATTTTTGAAAGTGTCAAAAAACAAATATTATATATAAACATGAGCTTCACATATCAGATGAAATAAAATCAAATCTAAATCTGCATAATTGAAGTACCTACTTAAGTAATCCTGAGTACTATAAAAACAGTTTTCCAGGAGAATAGCTCTGACTCTGTTTCTGAAGCAGCTTTGTTTGAGCACTTTGAACGAATTAGGAAGATGATTGTAGAGATTGATATTCAATGAATTTTTAATAGACCTTGTGAGTTTGTATCGAGGCTGTATCAACAGATCTGCATTTCTTGTAGCATGATGATGAATATCCTGATTTCAAGTAATTGACTATCTATGAATACCGATGGTAGTGGTAGTATACCCATTTTTTTGGAAAGCGGCTTAAGAAGATCTATATAATTGGCATTCATCAATATTCCGACTGCTTTTTTCTGAAGTCTGAAGATTTTAATGGAGTGAGAGGAATTACCCCACAAAACTATGCCATAATTCATATGTGAGTGGAACAAAGCAAAATATGAACTTCTCAGAGCGTCAAGAGACAATACTCTATTTAGCTGTCGAAAAGCAAATATACTCTTACAAAGCTTCTTTCTCAGTTCACCAATGTGTGCATAACATGATAAATTCCGGTCAAGAGTGAGTCCTCGTAATTTGGCAGTATCATCACCATTTTCCGTGGTTTCAGTATTTGAGGTCGTAAACAAGACCTTCGGGGTCTTGCTTTCATTTAATTTCAACTGATTTGTTGTGAACCACAGAGACGCTTGTCACGCTGGTGACATAAAATGACTGAAGTCATTGAAATATACCAAGAAGAGCAATGGTCCCAGAACGGATCCCTGCGATACACCATTCATGATAGTTTTACTGTCAGACATGTTTCCATTCACACCCAAACAGATTGGGTTCTGTTACATAAGTACGATTGAAATAAACTGAGTGATAGCCCCCTCACTCCATAATACTCCAACTCTTTGAACAGAACATCGTGCGAAACGCAGTCGAATGCTTCAGAGAGATCACACATGGTCAATATCACATGTTCACCTCTCTCAAGACCGTCGATAACCAGACTCACAGTTTTTCGAATTGGACCTGTTGTTGATCTACCCGCTCGGAATCCGTATTGATTTTCACTAAACAATTTGTTATTAATGAGAAAGTTCATAAGCCTGTTCTTCAAAATAATTTCAAAGATTTTTCCCAAAACGAGAATGATTGATATTGGTCTATAGTTTCCAACCAGAGACCTGGCTCAGTGTCACTCATCCTCTCGGCACCGATACACACACCTTAGGATTAAACCAACGTTGGGATGCTATTCAGTTAGGTAATAACAGAACTACAAGTGATTCTGTTATTCCCGTATCCAGCAGGGCTACGTGGAAGCAGGCATCCAATGGCCGGTTTGCTCAACCCCCACCCCCCAATCCAATGCACTTGCCAAAAACAGAATGCAGAGTGGTTCAGACAGTGAAAGATGAACTAGAACAGCCAACCCACCTGATTATAGGTACTCACAACAATGTTTCTACCATTCCTTCATATATCCAGTTCTAGAATGTATCAATTCGAAATATTTAAATTCCAGAATATTCCAGAAATAAAGGTAGATTCGTTGGGTTGAAGTATGTTTCTATTGAAAATTCAATGTGCATTTTTTTCCAGATTGCTTTCTTCGCCATCCTGGCCGTCGCCTTTGCTGTTCCTTCCCCAAACCCCAAGCCTGACCCCCTTTCTCTGATTCAACCAGCAGCATTGACATATTCCGCTTATAGTCCCATCTCCACCTATTCGAATTTGGGATACAACTACCTTCCATATGCATACAACTACAACTACTATGGATCACCATTGGCGTACAGGAATCTTTATTACTAGGAGAAGAGTTGCTCAAAAGAACATGGCCTGCAAATTTTAGATATTTAAGCAAATTTATTTCTTTTGGCAGAATAAATGATAAATTGCTGTTAGGTCATATGAATAAAAAACTTGAAACTTCCAAAAATTCTCTTATGATTTAACGTCTCCGATACCACATTCAGAAAAAATAGTTGTCCTACACATTTCCAATATTTGTTACGTTTTTATGATATCATGAAGCTGATAAACTGCGAATCTATATTTGGGGAACCCAAAGGCAGGAAATGCTCAATTTTCCCAGGCAAAAATAACCATATCACTTCATCATGATTTCTCAAAAAAGCAGCGAAATTATAATATTTGTAACTTTTGCCAGTCTACAATAAAACATTCCAATCGCTTGCATTACAAGTAATTACTGAAAAAAATTATACATCAATACATAGAAAGATCTACACATCCATATATCTTTCGAAATTGAAAAACTCAAAAGTTGCCCTGGATACTAGGTTACACATATTGAGAGAATTTCCGAAGACTATTCGCTTTATAGACTTTTATAATATTCTGAGTGGGAAAGTTCTCAACTTTTTGAAGATTTTATAAATTCGTTCGATCTCTTTCAGTTCATAGAGAAGCCTACCCGACATCATCCGCGTTTCTGATAAGGAAATGATATCAGATGCAACCCAGTGCTTTTTTATTGTTCTAACAGAATATTGAGAATAAGAAAAAAGTCCATTTTTAAAATAGTACTTCTATGAGATCTGTTGAATTCTGGGTATCGGTATCCTGAAAATAATATGCTCTGTATATTCAATTTCGATTGGATGTAATTCAATCATTTACTGCCTATCAGTTCTTGTTTGTAATTGTCTTCTTATAATTGGTGCTTGAAATGTTCTCTGAGATTCCTGTGATATACAAATACAAGAAATAAATAACCTGATTTTCTAATATTCAATTCTTCTGATGAGTTCACAACTATATATCATTGAAAGGTTTGATCAAAACGGTCCACCTGTGACGTCATTGGATATGCTTTCACCCCAAATGAACTGTTTGTGACGTCAATACCCATGCCGACTAGACAACGGCAACAATTAACCCATTTAATACAACTGAGAAATAAAACTGACTAGATGACAAGTTGACATCAATTTGAAAGAAGGAAATCCTTTCTCATTTTCTAATCTTCACGGCACATGGATGAATTAAAGAATTGTGCTCACATCTCGTACGGATTTACCATATACGTTATTAGGAGGTGAACATAAAAGTTTTGTCATTCTTGAGAATAGAAAGAATACTCACTTAAACGTTTTGTATTTGAATTGTTACATCTTCCTTATCTAGCCGTAATCGTTAGACTCCACTTTAGCCCACCCATCATCTACAGGTACGTCTTTCGCTATCTTGTCAACTACTGATTAAGAGAGAGGTAGACACCTCTTTTCAATAAAACTAGAACTTGATACAGAATTGTTCGTATAACCATACTTTGTTTCAGACCTCCTTTCCTTCTACTTCTTCATACGCTTACCCTTTGGTTACATTTTAACGTTTCGCTTTCATCGTTACCTTGGTTACGATACTACAAAAAGCCTCTGGTACAACTGCGTCACTTACCAAAGAATCTCGAAGATCATTAATGAACACACCAGACCTCTACAGGGGTTCGAACGAAGTCCCATAGGAGAGAATATCCGTTGGAGGAAGATATACGCAGGCAACATCTTGATCAAGCGAGCTCTTTCCATTATTTCTATTGCTTTACTTATATCAATATCACACCTTTTGTTACTTGTAATTTGCCCTGCTTATTGGCTACATTTGAGTGCTGCTTATTGGCTATAAAGATAGAGGAAAGCTTATAACTTCAATTACATTCTTTTGAATAGCTATACAACCAATAACTATTCATTTCCCTCAGCAGCCCTATCTACCAGTCATTCTAGAAAAAAGAATACAATTAACTTAATGTGACAATTCATTGAAATTATATTTGCTTACCACCCATCACTTTATATATGTAAACTCTGCTGATTACCAAGAAATGAAAATTCATCCCTTCCGAATCAAATATTTGAATGTTATGCCTTCACAGTATCGAATGATCATTTTCATCTCTCCATGCGAATTCGGATGAATCAATGTAGTTAAGTCATCTACTAGCAGCTTGCCCAACAAATAAATCTACTTTCTGTCACATTAGAGTATTTTTTCCACGACCCACTCCCCGAAAGTAAGTAACCACATTGTTTTTCACTAGTGAAACCCCCATTATAGCCTCCAAACGTTGTTTCTATGATTTAGAGGCGTTTGCAGGTTATATCTGGTGTTGCACACAATCATTATGAATAATTTTTATCCTCGGGTGACCCGTGGGTTGAGCTACCTATCGGGCACGTCCCCAAGTGGCGGATAGGGGATCGGCCAGGGGACTGGAACCCTGTTTGGGAAGCCAATGTGGCCTTACGGACGGGGTCGCCTACCCAACGATCCCCTTGGAAACCGGGCGAAACCTCATTGTAATCAGCCTTCCTCTGGTAATGCGAGGCTCTGCCAAAGTGATCGACTCTTTCCCTGCTACCTGTGGAAATACACATGAATGAAAGAAACACAAAAATAGACACATAAACAAAAAAAACAATCCCGAGGCTGGACAGAAATGCTCACCTCAATCTATGGCGATGACTGGGTATGAACAGAAATGTCCACCCCAATCTACCGCTAGGAATGAAGCTGGACATGGGAGATTACCTCGTGAGGTAATACAAAGGCCAAGGCGTAAGCGCATTCGCGGAGCCGAGGACAAACGGAGAAAGAGAGCGATAGAGGAAGGAGTGGCAGCAACTATAAGTGCACCCTCATCCTCCCCCGCTTCACCTCCAACAGCAAGGGCACTTNAGCGCATTCGCGGAGCCGAGGACAAACGGAGAAAGAGAGCGATAGAGGAAGGAGTGGCAGCAACTATAAGTGCACCCTCATCCTCCCCCGCTTCACCTCCAACAGCAAGGGCACTTCCTACGGCGGCCTCTGCCTTGAATAAAGGCAAGGAACCGGCTGCCCCTGCAGATAAGCGCCCTTACTTGAGCACCTCCTCGGAAGGAATCCCAAGAAGATTGGAGGAGCCGCGCAATGACAGTAATGTCACTGTACCTTCCAAAACCTTCCCGAAGGCCGCCGTAAGACACCTCAAAGTTGCCAAAGAGAGTGTGTGTTCGGCGAATCTTGGTCTCCACCTGTTGATATAAAGGAGATGTATCCTAGTGACCTGTTCACCTTCCTGGAAAGGACAGAATGGACGATGACCTACGAGAACAAATCTTCGGAAGGACGTACAATGGGTCACATTGGCCTGCTGTGGGTCTACACTCACCCTCCCTACTCTACAGATACATATACAGATCCTTGGCTGAATTTGCCTATATTACACTTTAAAATAATAAGTCAGGTTGTTGGACACTACTTTGATTAACGTATATCAAACTTGAACATTTTCATTTTGTGTCTCTCATATGATGAGTGGATATTTCCTCACATTTGTTATTTCATATGCATCTTTGTTCGTGCATTCCTCAGAAACCATTCGTCGGATTTCGACTATTCTTTCCAAATTTTTTTCGCTTATGAAAACGATGCAAGTTTCATTGAAACTGATGGAATAATATATAGATAGATAGATAGATAGATAGAAGAAATACGATTGCTCATTGCTTACTTCAAGTGTAAATTCGACTACTGTGTAAAAACCCTTTTCTGATAAATAACGTTTACATTTTTTTTTTGAAGATATGAGGAGACAGAGTATTTATATCGTTTGGCAGTAAATTATACATTCGAATGCCGGAAAATTTAGGAGATTTTTTATATTTTGCGTGATGGAGTTTTCGTGTTATGATCATATCTTTTCTTCTTATATTATAGCTATGCTATTATAGCTATGCTATGCTATATTATAGCTGACATCTGTTTTTGTTTGGAAAAGTTCTTTATTTTCATGTACATATGTCAATGTTTTTAAAATGTACAGACTTGCAACTGTCAATATTTTATTTTTTTGGAATATATTTCTGCATGAAGTTCTAAAGTCTAAATTAAATATCAATCTCAGCAGTGCTTTTTGTTTTATAAAAATCCTGTCTGATCCAGTAGCTAGTCCCCAGACCGTAATGTTCTGATACATGATCGAGTGAAATTTGGCATAATAAACTGATATCAGTGAATTTGTATCTAACTTGCACTTAAGAGATTCCATCAGATAGTATTACACCACCCATTAAATTCGATTAGAACAGCATTTACCATTTGTGTCATATCGTCAGATGTTTTACTAGAAAGAATGATAGACGTGTCATCTGCATAGAGAAATATTTTTCCATGACTTATATTGAGAGGAAGATTATTTACATATAATAAAAATATTAGTGGCCCAAGAACGCTGCCCTGAGGGGTACCTGTTGTAACTGAGAATTTATCCGACTTGATGTTATTCTGCTTTACCTGGAAACATCTATTCGCCAAAAAAGAAACAATAATTTGATTTAAATTACCATGAATCCCAAGGTTGAAGAGTTTGTCTGATACAAATTAAGTGTTCACAGTGTCGAAGGTCCTGCTCAAGTCAAAGAAGACTCCTACAACAATTTTTTTTCTTCAATTGAATCATGTATGTGTTGTGTGAAATTTAGCGTTGCGATTTCTGTTGAGCAGTTTTTCCTGAATCCATGTTGGCACTCTGCCATCAGATCGAAGGTTTCGAGGTAGCCGTTCATTCTGAGAGATATTAGTTTTTCCGAAATTTTTGAGAGTACGCTGATAATTGATATAGGATGATAATTTTTGATACTCTTTTTGTCACCATTTTTCAATACGGATACTAGAATGGCAATTTTGAGAAGATCAGGATTTCTCCAAAAACCAACACATAAATTCATAATATGCGCTATTTGGTCTGATAATATATCTACACATTCTTGAAAAATTTTTGTAAAGACGTCATCATGCCTTGTGCTTTCTTTATTAGGTAATAAGGCTATGACTTTTTTTTACTTCGTTTGTTGTTACGGGTTTGAAAAACATCGTTGTAGTTATATTCGCCATTGTTGTGCAGCTGTCTGATAGTTTTCAATATATCAACTGATACATATAAATGTGACAACCTTGCTCGTTGCTCAACGAGAACTACAAATTAGATGTGTTCATTCTAGGACAATAGAATTTCACGGCAGAAGGTGACAAAGCTATTTTCTAGGTTTGTTGATCGTGTTCCGCAGATTTTCATGCTCAAAGTTTGTTTTGCGACTACGGTTAACATTATGAAAAGCAGTGAGGCAATGAATGAAGTATTATAGTTGTGTTTCCATCATTAGGTATAAATTTACAGTTTCACTTCATTTGTGGTGCAAGTTCATGTAGAAAGACGATGGAAACTCAAAATCACAAAAGAAATTTCAATGGAGAAAAAAATAAAATCCAACATCAATGAAGTCTGTCTCCCTACGTTGAGTCAAACACGTGGAACGTCATTTATTTCAACCAATAGGAATGAAGCCATGCCACCATCAGTTAAATGGAACCAGAGACTCAAACTTTGCTGTGATAACAATCAGAGCTCTCTCAATCTCCCCATCTTTGAAAAAGTTCATCATAGTCCAGCAGGCATTGAAACATACAGATAAGGCCAGAAAAACCATGAAAAATAGCTTCGACACATCAATAAGAATGAAGGGTCATTCGTTTTGACCTACGGAAGTGGAAAATTATTACTCGGTGGTGAAATAGATAGATTCGTACCAGTAGAGTAGAACTTTTTCATTCAACACTGAATTATTTCAACAAAATTCCACAAAAGCAGACGTATTGAAGGTACTCTCTGTTGAATTTGATTTTAGAAAAAAAATTACAACCATAGTTTTTAGAATTTTTTATTCACCCAATCGAGAAATAATTTGTTATCAATTCCACCAGGAGGGAGAATTTGCCTAAATCTGTATCAATCGCAGTCCATGTTCTCTTGAGCAACTCTTCTCCTAGTAATAAAGATTCCTGTACGCCAATGGTGATCCATAGTAGTTGTAGTTGTACGCATATGGAAGGTAGTTGTATCCCAAATTCGAATAGGTGGAGATTGGACTATACGCGGGGTATGTCAATGCTGCCGGTTGAATCAGAGAAAGGGGGTCAGGCTTGGGGTTTGGAGAAGGTACAGCAAAGGTGATGGCCAGGATGGCGAAGAAAGCAATCTGTAACAAAATATACTTCTGAAAATACCTTATCTGTTTTTGATGTTCGATAAATATTTCAAAACACTAGATAACAAAACACACCCATCAATATTGAAGTATAGCACACTATTTCGAAAGCAAACACGAATTATTTCATCATAAGTCACGAAAAATGGCAACCATAAAATAAGAAGTGGAACTGTAAACAGCGTTATGGCATTCCATTTTGAATTGTGAGCTGATTCTGATATATTTTTCATCCATTTTCGTTGAGAGTACTTCCCGATATTGTTACCATACGTTCCCTGGATATAATAATAATGATATGTATTTATTCACTTTCTCAAGATTGTTTACAGTAAATATACATGTACATATAGAAATGAACAGTGAACAAATGAAGTACATCTTACGAGGCAAAATGATCTGCCTGTGTGTAAGGAATGAGAATACTGAATCTGACATTGAATGAGATTCATGCATTAAACTAAGTACCAAGATATAAATTTAAAATAGCTACATTTGAACAGAATATAAATAAATANAGAGATTTTGTAGAAGGGCACAGAATTATTTTTTGTTTTCTGACAGAATATATATATTTTTCATTCAAATAGAACTGGCTGGTATCTCAATCCACACAAAAGAAATAACCAGAAAAGGAAATTCTGGCAAAAACATAACTATCTGCACTGACAGCACACAAGCCCTATTAGCATTGAACAGACAACGTGTTACCTCAGGGCTAGTACTATAGTGCCACCAAGATTTAGCCAAAGCCTCGGTAGATAATAACATTACCCTCAGGTGGGTTAAAGGGCACGACAGAAGTAAAAGTAATCGCATTGCCGACTCATCATCCTAGGAAGCGGCTGAACTAAGAATTTCAGGACCCAGTGGCACCTGATGGACCTGATGACTTCGACAATTGCGGAACTAGCCAAACGTTACACCCATGCTCAATCCCTAAAGAGATGGGATGGAATCAAAGGATGCAATTTCGCCAGGATCCCCCTTGGCGACCCTGGGAAGTTGGCGCTGAAGGAATATCTGGACCTGGAAAAATATACGCTTTACTGGCCACTGTCAACTGAGGAAACATCTACACAATATGGAGAATGTGTGAACAGGAAGATGAAACTGTCAGGCATGTCCTATGCGAATGTCCGGAGTTATCGTAAATAGAGTGTGTGTGCTGATATAAAAAAGATATCTTCCAGAGACCTGTCCACCTTCCTGGAAAGGAGAGGATGGACGTTGACCTTGGGAGGATGTACATCAACTGCCGTTGATGTAGATGGTCGCAAATTGGATGTGTGTGTTATTTCAGCACTGCCAAACGTTCTAGACACTTTATTAGCTATTTCTGTCCTGTGTGCTACCGATTCATGAACATACTCTTCAGCGACCGTTGATGACTTCCAACCGCCATGTTTCTTTAGTGTCATCAAGTCTCCCCCAGATGCAAATAAAAGTGTAGCAGACGATCTTCGAAATGAATGACCTGCATATGAATTGGTATTTTCAAGTTGAAGAAAATCAGCCACTGCTTCAGGTACCTTATATAACTGATTACTACCCACAACCTGATTGATATATTTTCCATTGCGATATGCATAAAACAGGCGGCGGTCCTTTGCTGCTGCTGGACGAAGGGCTATGTACATTGGGTAAAATTTAATATATTTACATCATCTGTGTTCACATCATCTCCTGTTTACATCATTCTATGTTTGCTTGAGTTTTACAATTAATAACGTTTCCGAATCTTCAACTCATCTAATGGTACCTGGCTGATTTCACAAATTCGACACGCTTCTGCAATACCAAATCCAACAACAACCTTGGCCATTAAATAAACTTCATCGGGAGCATTATTTAAAAAGTCACTAATATGTGTAAATATCGCAGCTTTCTTGGACGTGAAACCTTTCCCATTTTGTTTCAGAAATGTAATTAGTTTGAAATATTTTGAAATGTCTACATTATTATTGGATTGTAACATACATTTAATCATTGAATAATTCGACCATACTGTTGTTGGCTTTTGTTGTTTTGCCAGTTCCGAAAAATAAGCCAATAACACCGTCTCCGAGAAAGAACTGCATGCCTTTTTGATCTTCCATTCCATGAATCTTGAATACGCGGTTTCATAAATTTTCTGCTTTTTAGCTGGCAATAATTTTTGTAACGCTACTTTCGCTGCTTCTACTAACTCCGGTGGAGTCAGAGAAAACTCTGAATTAGACATTTTTCAAAATAACCAATGACCACTAAGTTCGCAATTTTCAAATCAAATCACAGAATTTAATTGACAGATTCAAAGTTTTGCTCCTCGATTCATGGGAAATTTCCATCAAGACGCCCAGGAGTTTCTCCGTTATCTTTTAGAAGGATTACATGAAGACGTTAATATAATTAATGAGAAACCTAAACCAATCTTAACGGAGATTGACGAAAAATTGAGCGACAGCGGAAATGCACAAGAGTCATGGCTCACATATTTGAGGATGCATAACTCTAGGATTGTAGATAATTCCGTTGGCCAATTGAAATCCACGATGAAATACACACACTGTGGATACTCTTCAGTAACATTTGATCCTTTCTGGAATTTGTCTCTCTCCATACCACAAAGAACCGACCAATTGAGTTTTTGGCAATGCTTGGATTGTTTTACAAGAGAAGAAACTTTGGATGGAAATGAAAAACCGACGTGTTCGAAATGCAAGGAAAGGAGAAAATGCACAAAGTCCCTATCAGTCCAAAAGTTTCCCTATATTTTAGTAATACATTTAAAAAGATTCTCTCCAACAGAAAGTAGAGGCAAATTGAATGATGTCATCGAATTTCCTCTAGAAGGATTGGATATGGACAATTTTGCAGCAGAAAATGTGGCTACTTGTTATAATCTATATGCACTTTTAAATCACAGTGGGACTACTAACAGAGGACATTAAACAGCATACTGCAGACACCCGTATACTGGCGCGTGGCACAAATACAACGATTCACACGTGTCACCAATTTCACCAAAGTCGCTTGTGAGTGGAAAAGCAGACGTCCTCTTTTATGTAAAGGATGGAACAAAATAGCACCTTTAAGATAACCGAGGAAAAGTTTCTTTGTGCAATTGTTATTTATTTTTTTGTTAATTTCTTACATGTACCTGTTTCAATTGTTATAGTATAAATAGTTCAGTTAAAAAAAATGACAGATATTTGATTTTCTATCGATTGGTTTCTTAGCAACGCTATACGTTCAACAGCCTACCTGGTTAAAAATTCAAATTTCACTTCGACAATTTTCTGACTTCAACATATTGTAATAATATGTTTTTTCAACAATAAATCGTCATTTTCCACGTCACATGAAAAAAATTGTGTATTATATACGGGAAAAATATTAAGATTTTAGATCTCGGTTTTTTGTCTCCCTCCGCTTCGCGTCGAGAGGCAACATAACCTCGAGCTAAAATCTAATACATTTCACCCTTGCATAATAAATAACTATTATTTTCCAGTGAGTCAAATATTGTATCCTATTTTTCGCAGAGAAAGAAAATTGGTGTTCAATGATTCCAGGCACTCACTTATTATGTTATTACTTTGATAATCAAAGTTTTGTCATTAACTGTATCTGAAAAATATAATATCACTAGGAAATGTATGCAAATCATGTAGTTACGGCATATAATGTCAAATAACAATTTGAAAATACAAACTAGGAAAACTAGAAAAAAACCCTCACCAATTTGAACATGTTGACGATAGTAATGTTGCAATGACTTGTCACGGACAAATTCTGGTGTGGTCAGTAGAGCACAATCTTTATATAGCAAATAATCCATCGGGGTTGGTGGATAACCTTCTGACAAGTCATGTTAAAATAAAACCAATACGAGTATAACGTTGTCCCGACCTACCGCAAGATGAACGAATTTTGTTTCTGGTTGTACATCTGGTCATTCAACTACGCTCACCTTCAGTGAGAATTCAGCATAACAGGAATGATTGCAAAGACGCGCAAAGTAAGTACTTGTTCCGTTGGCAAGTACCTATTCTTTTATATCCATACTAGCGAACCGGCCGGCCCCGCACGGATGCAAGGCTGATACTTAATATAAATCCATCCATTGGAAATTTGTGGGCATGGAGAGACAGTTCATTTCGTGAACCCGACTTTTTCCCCCGCGGCTGGCGTCCCAGTTGGAATATTCAAAAATCTTTTCTTGTCGCACATCTATAACATAAAACAAATCTAAATACAAAATTTCAGCATCTGAAAATATAGCGGTACGGAGCAACAGTTATGAAGAGGTAATTTTCATATGAGAATGCTCCCCTTTTATTCCCAGTGGGGCGCCCCAGTGTGATATTTGGAAATCCTTTCTTAGTGCGCATCTGGGGTCTAAGATGTATTGTCAAAGTATACGATATTGTGCATACTTAAAGTTGTCGGCACTCTCAAAGGCCCAAAAAACGATACATAGAAAGTCGAACTAGTCCACGTGGAATTGACGGTTCGTATTGGATAATTTTTACTAACCAAATTTGTAGTCATGTTACGGTGAGAAATAGAAATCGGGGAAGGTTATCGCCGTCCTGTTCAGTTAAGAAACTGATCGCGATTTGAGTGTTGAAATTCAATATTCGTGCAGTTATAATTACCTACAATTTCTGTTCTGTTCAAAATGTGGCGTCCTTGGACAAGTACTCAGCGCCCGATGTAGGGGGGGCTCTGCATCTCAAGTTTGGTTTCGAGGAAAACAAACTATTACAAGCAATATCATATTTGACCAAAATTCATTTCTCAACTGTTCGTAAAATAGTCAAAAACAAATCTTATGAACGCAATACACGATGTGATATAAAAACCTTGAGATGTTCATCTGATGAAATCATTGAAAAACACAACGACACAACGACTGTTGAATATTCTCGGCCATAACGTGAGCTGTTGTGACAAAAAAAAATATTTTGAAATATCTCAAGTGGAACGCCAGCTGCGGGAAAAAATTATGTTCAATATATCCATCATCTTATCTGTCCATAATGTGATCAATTTGGCCCCTTACTGGACCAATTATATGTCGCTCTTTCAAGAGTAACCTCTAAAGAAAACATATTTCTATTGTCTACTGACAAAAAAAGCTGTGAACTTAATATATGAAGACATTCTGCAATATTTGACATTTCAGGAAGTTTCACACTATTCGCCGATGATACCACGATACTATGGCATAAAGATAAGGAAGCCGATCTTCAACAGGTCATCAGGTATAATAAAAGTTAAAGAGTGGTGCGACTCAAACTTTTTATCCTTCGATATATTAAAAACCAAGATTGTGTCCTTCAAATGCGCAGTATCTGATATTTCTATCAACCACCAGATCATTGAAAACAGTGTGTTTTCTAAATTTTCAGGACTATACATTGACAACGGTCTCAAATTTGATGAACATATCAAAAACCTGAATGAAAAATTGTCCTCACAATTTTATAAAGTAGTGACTACGTATACTATGTATACTAAGTAAATAATTATCTAAATGTTATTCATATAATTTAATTTAATTTATTTTATCTATACAGGCTTTGTCAACAAGATATTATTCTTTGATAATAAAGCATATTTTGATTGATTGATTGATTGATTATATTTAGTATCAGCATTGCACACGTGCGGAGCCAGGTCGGGTCGCTAGTTATTTTATGTAAACAAAGGTTTCAAAAGTTATTTGACTCTTCATCCGTCTTTTAAAAATACTCAATTCAATGTAGAAAATTCTCGATATCGATTCTGGTGAATGATATTAAATGTGTGGATAATAGTTTTTTTTGGTGCAACAAAGTGATATTATAAGATTTCAAGCCTCCAAAAGTTCCCATAGAATTTTTCAGCTCATCACTGGAGTTATATATCAATCGCAGTCCATGTTCTCTTGAGCAACTCTTCTCCTAGTAATAAAGATTCCTGTACGCCAATGGTGATCCATAGTAGTTGTAGTTGTACGCATATGGAAGATAGTTGTATTCCAAATTCGAATAGGTGGAGATTGGACTATAAGCGGAGTATGTCAATGCTGCCGGTTGAATCAGAGAAAGGGGGTCGGGCTTGGGGTTTGGGGAAGGAACAGCGAAGGCGATGGCCAGGATGGCGAAGAAAGCAATCTGTAACAGAAAAAAAAGGGACATTTTTAAGATTCGTTTTCGATATTTGGTGAATATTTCAACAGTCTAGAATGAAAATAGAAGTTCTAATCAATCAATCAATATCGAGAAAATTTCAGACCACTTACTATTACTACAACTTTCTCGAAGATTCTTGAATAAGCATTTTCAGAACGCATAAACGATTATGTGTGTTAAATAAACTCAAAGTGCGCTATTGTCTTTCTATTATTGACTTGATATAATATATTGACTTGGACAAAGGTGATGTTTATTCGTTCTCAACATCAGAAATGAGGTCGGTCCAGTTGGGAGTACCCCAGGGATCTATACTTGGGCCACTCCTATTTCTCTTTCATATCAATAATATAGACATAAAAATACCATCTGACAAAGGGACGAATGAATTAACACGAAAATGCATATTTTCTGGATGTGATTTCAAACTATTTCAATAGTCACGACCTGTTTTTCAATGTGAAAAAACCAAGTTATTTTGCTTTCACAATTATCAGAATAATATCGATGATATTCAGGTGATTGTTAATATCGCTATTTTGAAGAACACCCATGATGCTGTTAAATTCCTAAGCCTTCATATAGACTCAGGTAGTCCACATCTCTCTCCACATTACCGAGCTGTTTTTTTCAAGAATACTTTTTTCATATAACACATGACCGTCAACAGTCTATGAATGGACAATTCATGTAATCTTCGTGAATAACCATAAAAGGCGTTTATTATTATTATTATATTTGAAATATTTGAATGTCAATAAAATGAAGGCTTCTACTTACTTTAAGTTTGATTGCATGTTATATCAATGATCAAATTTTGTCACCAACTGTATTTGAGAAAAAAACATGAAAAGTTACCTCATATCATACTGATTAACAATTTAAGAATATAAACTATGGAAAATCCTCACCAATTTGAACATGTTGACGGTAGAAATGTTGCAATGACTTGTCACAGACAAATTCTGATTTTCACAGCAGAGCACAATCTTTATATAGTAAATGAACCATAGGAGTTGGTAGATTACCTTCTGGCAAGTCTGCTGAAAATAAAACAAATACGAGTACTCGTATAATGTTGTTCTGACCTGCCTCAAGATGAACGAATTTTGTTTATGGTTATACATCTGGTCATTCAACTACACTTACCTTCAATAAAAGTTCAAGAGGCCCGTATATAGAGAGTAAGTACCTGTTTTTTGACTATCTTCTTCATTTATATTTTCTGTAGCAATGTATCTAGGATGTGAAGGAATTTATAGAGTCAAGAGAGGCGATATTTCATCTGAAGGTAAGTAAAAGCAAAAAAATGTGAGTTGTCGACTGAGGGAGATTTGTTAATTTATGGAATGAATATTTCAGTTATACATTTTCAAAAAAAAAACACAAAATGTCATTTCAAATTCTATTCGTTAAATATTGTTGGAAGTGAGAAATATAGGGTGTTTCTTGACTACGGTCCCGAACTTCAGAGGATGATTCGTTAGGTCATTTTGAAAAGAAAAGTTCCCATGAACATTCACATCTAGAACAGGAGTTTAACAGAAGAACAAGATTCCAAATGACCCCATACATATAAATCTAGAGGATTCATATCAGGACTGCGAGCTAGCCAATTTTGAGATCCTGTAAGTCCGATCCAGCGAATAGATGGATGATGTCGAGATGCTCACGAGCAGAAACACCAGAATGAGCTGGGGCCCCGTCGTGCATAAACCACATGTTGCCTCTTACAAGAACCTACCGGCACTTTTTTTAACAAAATGAGGGAATGATCTCGCAAAAAGTCCGTGTTTTATTCACCTGTTAATCTTCTAGGCAGAAAAAATGGGCCAATTAGGTAGTCACCAAACGTTCAGCGAAAATTGTTGCTGAAGATTACTTTCGTCAATAACGTGGGGATTTTCGTCGGCCCAAAAATGGTCATTGTGGAAGTTCATAATAGAATCTCGTGAAACATTTGCTTCGTCCGTTAATGAAATATTTGGTGGAAAATGATTATTGTGTGCCATCGTACGAATCAGCCACCTGCAAAACATCAATCCTGGTTGAAAATACCGAGGCAGTGAAGCTTGGACTCGCTGTATGTAATATAGGTATAGGAGGTTTCTTTTCAGAACTGTCAACACGGTTTTTGGGCTGAATTCCTCCTGGCACTATTTTAAGGATCTTCTTCTATCGCATCAAGTATGGCTTTTTTTAGTTCAGGCGTTGTTACAATTTCTGGTCTTCCACCACCTGTTTTCTTATTGAAACTACCAGTTTCACATAATTTTGCATATGACGTTCTAAATATTTTAGCACATGTAAATAATATATTAAGATGTCTGTCTGTTCTGGTAAATTCTGTGCACTTCTTCCGCATTTCCGACTGCTAATCCATAAATGAAGTGCATGTCAGCCAATTCAGCGTCAGTAAAATTATTCATGATGAAATCACTGCTAATTGACAACTCTGATTTTCACTGATATGACCACACTATCACTGTCAGCTGGTATCCAAAGCAGGTGATCATGATATACGGAGTGGCTTCAATTTCTTTCTTGAAAACGAAGCTAGATATGAAGAAAATACAAGAGAAGAAAAAGTAGTATTTTTTCATGATTATTCTAACAAAGGAAAAAGTACAAGTCCGTGGCGTAATTTTTTATCCAATATGGATCTAATAATTCCAATCTAGTTAGGTGGTGGGTTTTGAAATGATAATGGGTATTGAGTTTCAACACAGTATATTGGTAAACTAGTGAATGAGAAAAAAATTTAAATTTGTTTCAGGTTTGGCAGTACCAGGCTGAACAGACAAATTCGAAGAGAATTGTTGATTTATTCAATGCTTGGTATCCACATCTACAACCTCGTCTGTTAGCCGAAGTGAGGAAAGCAAAATTGATTGTGAATTGCAGGATGTAGACAGACATATTTGGAATATTTACAACTGATGTCAGCCTTTTCCATCAGATAGTAACAGCTTATTGCTCTGTTGTATCTGATTATTACGGAGTCCATAGACAATAACATATTCAAAAAGGTTCCTCTTGAAGATGATCACTTGGTAATCGAAACATGTGTCGAGGTGTTAAAAATAACGATTGGGTGTTAGGAAAAAACTCCAGTAGTATTCATTACTACACCAAAGGTTCCAAACAGTGCATCATAAGTAGAACATTTCGAAGTTTCTCATTTATTTTTTGTATCGAGGTACAAAAGCATTGCAGGAAAATTTTGCACAGGAGACTGGTGCATTCACAAAACTGGCAATTTCGAATAAATTCAGACTTCTTCCGATTATATTCGCTTCAAAAATAGTTTCAAAAAAATTATTACACGATAACAATGATGTACAAATGAAAAAAAAAGGTTTCAACTGATGTATTCAACTGCATAATTAGACGTACTTCTGACATATACCACTCCCGTTGAAATGGAGCATGTTGCGCACTCGAATATCAACTAAAAATATATCTATAGAAGAGTGGTAATTTAACCTTCAGGCAGATGCTTCTTCCATAGATAGAATGTAACTGCTTCGGAACTAACCTTCATACGTTTGAGCAGCATTATTAAAAGTTTTTAAGTTCAAGTAAAAGTTTTCAGCAAGTTTCCTCACCCAATCACAACAAAACTTCTTCCAATATGTGTTTTGGAATCTGTCAAATTCCTAGTCGTTTATTAGATCAATTGACATTTCTGTTCCAATTATCTGAAAGAACAATTCGTTCAGGCCAATCTCAAATTATCTACACTGTGGGTTGATGAAATTACACTCATCAGAAAACAACTAATCCCCTGGCTGATACCATGAAGGGTGTTGGATTATATCCGACAGGGGTCAGTGCAGGATTCTTCACTGACATTATTCCTGCATATGCTTTTGGCGATACAATTGCCTCAATAGATTTTCAATTATTGAAATACATTTGCAGACCTTGCAGACTGATAAGAAGAACTGCTCGAAATTTTTCTTATTTAGGCATACAAGTTACCGAGTGGTCTGTCTAATGTATTATTAACATGGCAATTTTAACTTCAAATTATCTCGAAAACTGATCGTTACGAGAATTTTCTTTCAACAGAGTTGTAAAGCTATTCGAAAGACCTTCAAAACAAGGTGCCACTCGACCTACTTTCCCTATCTAAATGAGGGTCGTCGGACGCACCCTCCGAGGGGGTGCGTACTACAAAAAATCTGATTAGTCTGAAAGGTGTCCCCCTTTGATTAGAAATCGACGTGTCCGAGCTTTTTTAAAAATCTTACTTTTTATATTAAAAAACGGCTCTGGTACAACGGTATAGGTACCACTATGGATAGTCTTATTTACTATTTTTTTACAAACTATAAGAGAGGAAGGCGAAGGATCATCAAATGGTATTCTAGATAAAAATTTCACTGGACTGTTTATCGATGAAATTCAAAAATTTGGATGCCAAATTTGGCAAAAAAATACTTATTCTGGTAGAAGGTCGAAACAGATAAAATATAAATTCACTGGACTGTTTATCGATAAAATTCAAAAGTTTGGATGCCAAATTTGGCAAAAAAATACTTATTCTGGTAGAAGGTCGAAACAGATAAAATATAAATTGTATTGCTTTTCCGTTGTACTGTCAGTATGTCAATGAAGAGTGATCTTAAATCACGGTGAAAGATCTATCCATGCATTGTGTGAAAGTCAAATGGAGTAAATTCATTATTTCGGTTACTGTACATATTTTAGCAAAATCCCGAAACACTTTAAATTTAAATTATAATTTGACATATTTCAACGTTCCCATTCGAATTTCCCATTCGATTGATAGAGAGGCGAGGATCGATTCTTTCATCATTAGATTTCTCTTCATGAGGATATGTAAAGAGCAATGTGTACAAAACTGAACCTTCAGATTTGAATGACTTAAAAGAACGAATAACTCTTGCGATCAGGTCGGTCACGCCTGATATGTTGAATAATGTTAGAAGACAGTTTTATTTGGAATTAGGATGTTGCCAAGACGTTCGCGGTGAACATTTTGATCATCTACTTCAATGAAATCCATAGTTCTTTTCCGTGTTCTACATTTTATTACGTTTTGAATTACATTTTCATTTATGAGTGTATTTTCATCGAATTTCGGTAACCACATGATTTTCAATTAATTTTATCTTAACTGTTGCAATAAATTTGAAAGCAATAACACTTTTGAATAGTGAATGAAGAGATCTTTCAAACGTTATATCACAAACTTCTAGTTCCCATTTGAAAAATGAGGGTTGTATATGTCACTCAAGGGGGGTTGGAGGTGGGGGTGGCATTTTTACGTTGAAAAATGTCAAATTATAATTTAAAATTGAAGTGTTTCTGGATTTTTTTCAAATATGTACAGTAACCGAAGTAATGAGTTTATTCCGTTTGGCTTTAACACACTGTATAAGTTTTTCGTCATTCTGTAAGTCATCATCCAAATTGAAATACACTACATTTTTCATATCTCATTGATATCTTTTTTTTCAACTTATATTATACATTAGTAGTTATTCAACCATAAATTTTTCACATTGTAGCCTTGATGAAGACAATAAATATTGATGAAAGTTCGGTAGAGTGAATTTTTTACCAAGCATTTTTTTGTAGATATATAAGTACTTCAGAAGTGCTTCATTTGAGTGGCAAACATTCGTTGAGAAAAGCATGTCAAAATTTTGATTCCGATAATTGAATAGAACTGACCGATACTTGATGAAAATCCATATAAAAACGCATCAATACAGTTTCTCAAGCGTTAATAATCTAACGTTAGAGAAAGCTTTTGTGAAGCGAAACACGTGTTACGGTTTTTGTAAATTTGTTAAACCCTTTATAGTAAAAGTCATACAATAAACTGTATTGATGAGTTTTTTTATGATCTTTTTTCCAGCCTAGCACCGAAATGAAGAAAAAATGATTTTGTATGATTTTTTATTCACCCAACCGAACTAAATTTATGTAAAATTCTATCAAAAGGGAAATTTGCTTATATCTGTATCAGTCGCAGTCCATGTTCTCTTGAGCAATTCTTCTCCTAGTAGTAAAGATTCCTGTACGCCAATGGTGATCCATAGTAGTTGTAGTTGTAAGCATATGGAAGGTAGTTGTATCCCAAGTTCGAGTAGGATGAAATGGGTGTGTAGGCGGAATATGCTGCTGGTTGAATCAAAGTGAGAGGGTCAGGCTTGGGGTTTGGAGCAGGAACAGCAAAGGCGGCAGCCAGAATGGCGAAGAAAGCAATCTTAAAAAAATATAGATTCGAGTTAGAGCTTCATAATAGCAGATAATGTTTATATACACTTCCTTTTCCGGTGTGTTTCTCTTGAATGTTGTTCAAATAAATAAAAGATTTGCAGACCATTGTATTCTTTCAATGAGAAATGCATTTTAAATAATCCTTTCGCAACCTGTTATATAATGAAACAAAGTATTCAGACTATATTTCTCATTCAATCTGAGTGTAATTTGGATTGGAATAATTCAAAAACTCTACATTCCATATGATCTTTTGTTCAGCGGTGGCTCTTGTCCCTGGATAAAACCCAATCCTACTAGATATTTTCTCCATGAAAATTCATCAACTTCATTCTGATACGTTACATGGCTTGCGCTTACTTTATTGGTAATCTTAGAATTTAAACTGCTGCGTTCAGAACAGAATATTTTATTTAAATTAAAAGGATTACATTTATAGGAGTGACTAATTTTTGGGAAAGACACTTTTGGCTTTCTACTACTCGAGTAGTAGAAAGACTTTCTTTCCGAAGAATATTTCAATTTTTCTGAAAAAGTTCGAATCTTGAAATTAGGATTTTCAGTTGACCAATCAAAATTTGATTCATAACTGAGATGTTCTATAAATGGAAAACCAGAACGCTGGTAATTCCAATTATGTTTTACTCCACAGGGTTTCCAAGATAACCGTAGAGTTGTGAGACCTCTGAACGTAAAAAAAACTGTTCGAGAAGTTTAAATTTTTACTTCTCCACAAACTGATTCCAAAACCAATATTTTTCATGCTTACTTATCAAAAAAAAGGTTTCAATAAAACTGAATCGAATCAATTCCTTTAGTATTTTTTCAAAAGCATAAAAACGCATGACTATCTCAATTATACAGGGGTGATTTAAACTGCTGAGTTTATGTATCCCTCCCTCAACTTGTTAGGCTTTACTGAAATTTCTTGTGAATTCGACAAGCAAAACCAAGGACAATTCGAAAACTCAGTTAGTAATATAAACCATCAAAAAGTTATTCATACATTCAACCTAGAAACTGGATATCGATGTTTCAGATTTATTGAGTTTTGCAAACGGATAAAGTCCTTCAAAACATTAAACATCTGAAGAAAACTCGATATAGATATTCAATGTTCAACATTTATAATTGCATTCGATGGCAAAATGTGTCAACATATCTAAACAATTGTCAGTTCAAATTCCAAATAACAAACGTAATAAAAAATCTCACCAATTTGAACATGTTGACGGTAGAAATGTTGCAATGACTTGTCACAGACAAATTCTGATGTTCCCAGCAGAGCACAACCTTTATATAGCGAAAAACCCCTTTGTGTCGGTTGATCACCTTCTGACAAGTCAGTTGAAATAAAAACAAATATAATGCAGTCCCGACCTATCTCAAGAAGCACCAATTGCATTTCTAGTCATGCACCTGGCCGTTTTTCTGCATTCACGTTCAGTTGGAATTCTGCTTGAAATAATGTGAGATTTGTTAAGTATCAAAGCAATCATACATATACAAATATTCGCAATATTGAGTTGAAATCTCATCTAATTTAAGAGCAGGAGTTGTATTATATTACCAAAAGTTTTATAGCTTTATAGCAACATGATCTACATGATTACTGTTGAAAGCTAGCCCAAAATGTATATTCGACAGGTTACCATCCATTTCTATACTGTCAAATCTACGAATGATTCAAATCAGTCGACAAACTATTTTTTCTCTAACTTCTTGAAATATTGTGCAGAGCTCAATCATTATTACAGAATTATCCTCCAGTTGTCATCCCCGAATTTTTAATTTTTTTAGACGGGGCAAAACTGAATAATAAGGTCCTCACCCACTATATATTTAGTTTTACCTTCAACATCTTTATAATTTCACCTTCAGATGTCCAAAAATTGGTTGAAAAATTGACATTTCGACATAGGCGTTCCATCGCTGTTCTTTCTGATGTTTATGTTGTCTATATTGTCTATAATGTCGTTTATATTGTCTACATAAACCATATAAACATCAACGTGCAGGATATATCTTTTATACATAGCTCATGATATGATTTAGAATAAAAATATCTATAATAAGAATAAAAATCGAATATATTACTGACTATTGTGAAATGAAATTACAATTTTACTCTTCGAGCTTTTTGTTCAGCAAATAAATCTATGGCATTGTCATAATTTAACTCGTGTGCTATTCGATTTTCTATCGTTAAAATTGCAAGACTTGATACGCGTTCTTGGCTCATAGTAGGTCGCAAATAATTTTTAATTAATTTTAGTTTGCTAAACCTTCCTTCACAGTTTGCGTATGTATGTAGTAGGAAGCGTAAATATTAGATATATTAGATATCATTCGGAATTCCATTGTCTAATATGATGTAAATTTATTTTAAATCCCTGAAAGAATCTATAAAAAATCAAAACGATTATCTTAAAAAAAAAAAAATTATAGTAAGCATTAAACTGAAATTACAATGAAATAAAATACAAGCAACAATAAAAAAATAAAAAAATTGAACTGTTAACACGAGATAAAAATCAAAGATTATCAACGAAAAATGAAAATTAAAAGATTCCAAGCCAAGTTACTCCACGACGATTCGATTGTTAGTATCCACAATCATATTCGAGTGTTAAAAGAGTTTCATTTGGAAAAAACTTAACTTCAATCGCCACGCTACTTTTTTTTTATACCTTGGGAGCTGTCTGACTTGTCCATTCAGTCCAAGTCTCCAGAAAACACTGCAGCCTCTTGGACTTATTGCGTTTATTCTACCATCTTCTCATGACATCCATTCCATCAGTCTCGTTCCCTGTACTAGTTTGTACAGGTTCCGTGTTGGATGTTCATCATATTCTTCTGGGCGTAATTTTGTACGTCCATATATTACCTGCCTCCTGTCGTTTAGTGCCTCACAATCGCATAAGATGTGTAGAGCTGTTTCAATCCCTTTGTTGCATAATATGCAGCTGAGGTCTCTGTTGTACAGCCCTATTTTATTCAGGTGTTCTCTAAGCGGACAATGACCGGTTAGTAACCCTGTAATTATTCTGAGCCGATCCTTACTATATTGAAGTAGTTCTTTGGTTCTTTTCTCGGACGGTTCCCTGATGAAGGTTCTACTGTGTTTGTTGCCAGGTACTTTTGTCCAGTACTCTGTATGCTTCTTATTGGTCCATGTCCTAATCTGGTTTCGTACCAATAATTTTGGTACCCCCAGAGCTGGTTCAGGACCTATTAATGAAGTTGATGATCCGCGTCAAGTGCATTCATCAGCTTTATCATTACCTGTGATTCCTGAATGCCCTGGCACCCAGTACAAAGTTAATTTGTTTCTGTTTGCAAGTTCATTCAGTTCTTCATGGCATTCCCAGACCAGTTTCAAAATCACCTCCGGGTTTGTCAGAGCCCCTAAAGCGCTCTTACTGTCTGTAAAAATTTCGATCCACTCATTTCATTGAGGTCTCAATTTAATAAGCATGCACTTCCGCCTGAAAGAAGGATGTGTATCGTCCTAGCGGATAGCTGTGCTTTAGATTCCTATCCACTCGGTATATTCCAGATCCCGTTTCATGTTCGGTCTTCGATATATCTTCATACCAAGTGTTTTTTCCAAACAAGTTTTCGGGATGACTAATGGTCTTCCACTCTTCACGGCTTATGATTTCAGCCGTGAAGTTTGTGTTAAAGTTGTACCTCGGTGTCATGTGGTCCGTGCACATATTCAATATGTGCTCCTCCACTCATTCCGAAATTTCCGTTCGGTCCGGTCTTTTGTAGTTCGGTGAGTTTTCCAGTCTGAAATGGCTCATCCTGGCCTCCCCCATTATCACAAAGTGTAAAGGAGGTATATTCAGGAGTGTCTCCAATGCAGCTGTTGGGGCAGTTCTCATTGCTCCCGTCATTCCCAAACATGCAAGTCTTTGCACCCAGCCTAGTTTCTTGATAGCGGTCGCCTGCTCCATCTTTGGCCACCAGACCAGAGATGCGTATGTTATCATGGGTTTAACCACCATCGTGTATAGCCAATATACCATATCTGGTTTTAGTCCCCATGTTTTTCCAAAGGTGCGTCTGGCGAGCATCAGTGCTATCTTCGCTTTCCTCTTCATACTGTCCAAATGTTGGATCCCGGTCAGTTTGGAATCTAGGATCGCTCCCAGATATTTAACCTCCCTCGACACTTGTATTTCTTCACCTCGAAGTTTTAGAAGTCCGCCCCGTTCGTTTTAGTCCTTTTAGTGAATGCTACTATGGTGGATTTGGATGGGCTTATGTTAAGGCCTTTTTCTTCGGTCTATCTTGTTATAATGTTCAGGGCCTGATGCATGCATCCCTTCATTACATTATTGTATTTACCCTGGACTAAGATGCCTAAGTCGTCTGCATAGCCCAGTGCTTTATACCCATTATGGTCCAAGAGACATAGTAGCCCGTCCATTACAAGGTTCCATAAAAGAGGGGATAGAACCCCTGAGGACAGCCCCTTGCTACCCGTGCCACGACTGTTTCTCCCATAATGGTTGTACATACCAATCTTCCCCTAAGCATGCAGTCTATCCACCTACAGCTAGTCTTGTCGATCCCTCTTCTCTTTGACGCCTGGATGCCCATTCCAACGAAGTATTATCAAATGCTCCCTCGATGTCCGAGAAAGCAGCTAAAAGTACGTCCTTGTTTTTGTAAGTATATTCTACTTTTTCTGTTACCCGACATAAAGCCGTTTCTGTTGACATACCTCACCTGACATGTAATGGTCTGATAGCCAGTGATACGTCCCTGATATGCCTGTCAAGTAGTTTTTCTAGCGTTTTCAACGCAAATGACATGAGATTAATTGGTCTCAAAACCTTCACCGAGTCCTGTCCGATTTTCGGAATGAAGGTGGCTCAGATCAGCCTCCAAGTTTTTGGTATGTGTCCCAGTGCTAAGCTTGCCCTGAGAATCATACACAATTCTTTGGAAAGTACTTCCGGTCCCTTTTGAAGCATTACTGGGTATATGCCATCAGGCCTCGGCGACTCATAGGCTTGAAATGAGTTTACTTCTCACTTAATTTTTCCCATATCTATCACCTTCTTCGTCATCTGCCAGTCCTCCCTGGATTACCTTTTCGGAGTCTCCAGTTCTGAATTCGTCCAGGACTCCGGTGTTAGATTTGTAATTTCTGACCCGGGAAAGTGTACCCGAAAAACCTCTCTAATAGTCTCTTCTTCGGTTTTTATATACTCCCGTATTTGTTTTCACATTATTCATCGAGACCTGAGGTTCCCTCGAGAGTATTTTGTAGAGCCTGGCACGTGCTTGGGTCTGTTCGACCTCCTCACATTGTCTTCTCCATGTGCCTCTTTTGGATTTTCTCAGGATTGTGTTATACTCAGTTAGGGACCTTCTGTATTAGTCCCATGAACCTGATTTCCTTGCACATTTGAAGGCTTTTCTAGTTTTTTGTCTCATCCTCGCCAGATCTTCATTCCACCAGGGCAGATTCCTGTTTGATCTCTGGTTTACTATAGGCCAATGTTCGTTGTACGTAGACATGATAGCTCCCTGTAATCGACCTGCTGCCAACTTTAGGTCTATGGAATCTCTGATGTCAAAATCCATGCGGTCTAAATAGGTTCCCAGATCCACCGTATAGGCCCACGCTACTACTTTATACCTGGTAGAATCGATTTGAAAAAGCTTATTATATTTATATCTGAAACTTTTTCATGAAACTTTCTGATGGTTTCACCCACTCACCTCAAATTGTAACTTCGTAACACACACTGTATATGAATCAATGTATGATGTGTTATTGGAAAAAATATGACATTGATATACCACGCTATTATCTGAAACCACTAGTACCATTTTCACAGTGGTTGAAAGGCTGAAGTAAAACTGAAAATCTTCTTCTGATACATTGACTCTTCCACCGGAAACATTCCATTGGAAACTGGATGCAATACATACTGCATGTACTTCGAAAAGACGAACATATTGAATTGAGTTGAGTAGGAATAATACTCTCATTTTATTTTTTTCAACCGATTCAAATGAAACGGATAATATCACATACATTGTTATGAATCTACATTTGTTGATGTGAATAAATCTTTATATTTCAGAATCAAAGTGTGCATTGCTCTGTGCTTTGAGTCCGCGTATATTTGGTCTGCCTCAAGGGTCAGTGAATGTAAAATCTACTCCTTTGGTAGATTAAAATTTACGCAATTTCCATAGTATATGATATTTTTTTAATTGATTATCAATTAACTTTAATTTCATTCTAATGAAAAATAATGCACTTAAACGCTTGAAGAATTAATTTTATAAAGACTGACAAAATTGTATTTCAAAATCAGATGACAGCGAGTAGCTCACGAATGTTTTTCCCATTTGTTATTGACAGGAACATCAAAAAACGAATTAACTAATTAAATGAAGGTGGAATTCACATTGAAACATTTATTATTGATATTTTTAGTTTAAGATCTTCAATAATATATTGCAATGACTCAAGATTCTTGAGTTCACATTTATATTTTGATTACATATTTTTCATGAATATTTCAGTACACAAGGGTCACAAAATATTATTATTGATGTTTCACATCTGCCAAGCGTCCCATCACGGCTCAAAATTTTTCTAACCCTCATGAAATGTATTTCGGAAAGTTGACATACACAGCTGAATATTTATATAAACTTTGTATTTTGGCATCATAAAGGTTTAAAAATTATTACCTGATGAACAATTATGAATAATCTTCATTTTTTATCAACAAATACATCAACACTAAACAGGTCAGAGATGATGCGGATGTTCTCATTATTGAGACAGCTACTGAAGAATCTAAACGTCAAAGAACAGCAATTATGGTGGGTGAAGATATTGATTTACCTGTGATTTTAATTGGGCGTACACTATCTCTTGAACAAGAAATTTTCTTCAAAGAAGTTGGAAAACTAATGTGAAAACAGAAATATACTACTCTAAGGGTTTCGACAAATATTCAAGTTCTAAAAAATATATTTTGTTCCTTCACGCTTCAAGCGGCTGTGATACGACTTTTGTGCTCTTTAAAAAAAAAAAAACGTTTTTGAGAACATTCGAGAAACTATCTAATTTGAAGAAGCATTTGAAGAAGAAAGCTGGCCGGTTCAAAGAATATTTGATAGCGGATTGCAAACCTAATTAGCTGTTTATAATGCTCCAAAGTCTGTAGATACTTTCGATCATCTTCATTATGCACAATATGTCAAGCTAACAAAGCTCAATAAACCTGCGCAGTTATCAAATATCCCACCAACAAGTGAAGCAGCTCACCAACATTTCAATCGTGTTTATAACCAAACTTGGTTAGGACATGATTTGGAACCTCAGGAATGGGGTTGAACAATGCGTAACGGATTTCTAGAACCCATCATGACCATTTTACCACCTGCTCCAGATGTGGATGCAGGAAAGCGGGGTTGCAATGCTCTTGTGGCCAGTGTAATGGGCAAGCTTGTCTCAATGCTATACCATATGAGACCGATGTTAACGAAGATAGGTCCATTGATCCAGGAATCATGGAAGAATTGGNGACCCCCAATTTTTGAAGTTGCGGCCGTCGAATCATATGTGAATTTTGAGAATACTTTCAAAATACAAAGTTTATACAAATTTACAGCTGGGTATGTCCACTTTTCTAGGCAAACTCCCTAAAATGAGTGGACTAATTAATTTCTTTTTTTTTCAAACTACTGACATTCTCTGAGTGCTGAGTAATAATTCAGTTTCAAAGACTATTCTTATTTGATTTGCCAACTCGTCTCATTATTGAAAAAAAGCATTGGGTGCTGTATTTATGAAGACATTGTTGGAGAATCGGCAATTACTTGAATTGATGAATTATTTTCAACATCATCTTACCCAAGAACAAGAATGAAGAAATAACTCAATGACCTGGTATGCCACTTTCACCTTCATATCCAATGTCACTGAAGATATTGGATATGTCTTCACTGGAAAAATCATCTGATTGTCTCAAGGCGAAGAAAATGTTGTATTTGGGAGCAGCATGAGTGAATCCGAGTAAAATCAGGAAGAAAAGGCACTGAAAATAATTCAAAATCAATGAATGAACCGTCAGTTTTTCGAAACAATTTGCATTCGAAAAAAATTATGAACAATTTGCAAAATTTTGTTGTATGTTGTCAGTGAAATGGTTTTGATTTGGTATATATTGTATGTGAGGTCTTGTTGTGTTCTGATTTGTACTTTTTTCTCGATAAGTGACTTATAACTGTTAAATTTATGGATGTTCAAGTTTTCCCAAATGTCCATGCGGTTTCCCTTATTGACTTGTTTTATGAGTTTCATGTTCTCTGGTGGGGGGATATAATGTTTGTTTTGTATGGCGTGTGTTGAGAGGTTTGATTTATATACTATTGGATTTATGTATGCCTTTTTGTGCTCATTGTACCTCTGGATTAGTTTTTTCTTGATTTGGCCGATATAGAATTCGTTGCAGTCCGAGCATTGTATACTGTATATCCCGTTTTGGTCCTTGTCTTCTTCTTTTTCATAGTTGTTTATTTTTTGTGTTATCTTCGTGTTCGGCTCATATGTGATGATGTTCAGTGGTATGAAGACGTTTGTAAGACATTAATATGGAAGTGTTCAATCCCCATATAGTCTTTTTCAACTGAACTTACTTTTTTAATCCTTTTCTGCCAGTCTTCTTCGGTAATATTCTTCTTTAATTAGCTCTATTACCTGTTTATCAGATTTTGGAAAATTATTTTCACGCCTGATGCTTTGTTTCAATTTTCCCCAAATCAACTCGATGGGATCGAAATCACAAAAATAGGGGGAGAGTCTCAGTATGGGGTGTCTATACTTTTCAGCAATACTCTTAAGGGCATACACTTTTTCAAATGTTTTTGTTTGTAAAACTTCATGTTGTTGGTTTTTGGTATAGTAATCTTCTACTTTTCAGCAATACTCTTAAGGGCATACACTTTTTCAAATGTTTTTGTTTGTAAAACTTCATGTTGTTGGTTTTTGGTATAGTAATCTTCAAAATACAAATGATACAAATTTTCATCAATTGAAGACTTTGTATATCATTTTCCTCAAATTTTCATTCGGTACTTTGATGAGCTGTCGCGAATGATAGGAAGCGTTGTCAATAACTATTACACTATTTGCATCCAAATTTGGGATCAATGTGTTGTCAAAATATTCTTCGAAAATATTAGCTTCCATGTTCTTATGATAGTCAACATTGCAGTGCCCAAGGGATTTTCCAAAGATTTCGGAATCCTTCCTATACTTCCTTCGCAATGCACAATTATTAGTCGCGATTCTTCATTCACAGGCATGTTAGGCGTACATATTCTCGAACCATCAGTCCATCCTTTCGTAACTGTGTCGTGAGTGTCATACCAAGTTTCATTCAATATATAGTTATTTGTTACAAGTATTTGTTACGCAATTCCACTATTCTTCTGCTTTTCATAACTGCTTGACGTTTGTTCATTATTTTAAATCTAAATCCTTGTTTCTTTACCCAATTCTGAAGAGTTTTGTCACAGCAGCTCACGTTATGGCCGGAAATATTCATTTTCTTCCTTATGATTTCAGTTGTAGGAATCTCATTGCTTTTGTATTTTGTTTTTTTCAATGATTTTATTAGATGAACATCTAGGTTTGGGTAATCCTTGATCACATCGCGTCTTGCGTTCATAAGGTTTATTTTTGACTATTTTATATAGAGTTGAGAAAGGAATTTTGGTTTGATTCCCTCGAAACCAACCTTGATATGTAGATTCTTATACATTGAAACATACTCTCTATAAATTTGAGTTTGACACCTTTGCAGAGAAGAGTTTCAAAAGTGAAAACATTACCACACTCACCTTTTTGTAACATTTTCCTCAGTACTTTTTCAGAATAATCTGTATCAACTTTACAAAAGTGGAAAGCGTTGAAATGCAAAAAATATGACCTTCCAAGGTATCGCTGCAAACTAGGACAAACTAGCCTTAGGTCTAGAACTTATACCAAAATGATGTACACCCGTGGAATATTCAATTACTGAACGGAAATGAACGATTCTTGATGGAAACCACATTGAAACGTACTATTAGAGTTAACTGTAATTTTCACTGTGAAAGATTCACAAAATCACAACTAGTGTTTCGCTTCACAATAGGTTGACTATTAGAGATTATTGTATAGTTATTCAATGAAATTAAGTTTGATTTGAATAGGTCAAGTTTCTTAATCTCATTCAGTTGTGGAAAACGATTTCATTATGATTGGAAAAAACTTACTAAATGTGCTATTACACTCATGGTCGGCATTGAACTGAACGTAGAAGTTAAACGTATTCAGCTCCCAACTCTTACTGATCAGTAAGTATTAAAAATCATATCATGAAATGTTTGTTGCATTATTCAAATTCAACTCTTTGATTCACTTCAAAAGAATAATATAATTTTTTGTCTGAAGTTTATAGACTTTGAATCAGTAAATCATTCGTAGATAGATAGATGTGATGATAGCATTGGCATTGAATGCAGTTCATGCTGATTGTTTCATGTTCTGAAGGTTTTTTGGAATAGAATAGTACTTTGTATTTCGAACAAAATGTTTTATAAACTGTGTGACTAGCTGACTCAGAAGTGGAAAATTACAAAAAGGCATAAATCCAGGAGTTAATGAGGAGAATTCAAATAAAGTGATTTCAAATTATAAAAGCAAAACACATGTTTTGGACAAAAGCAATGTGCGGACTATTCACAGTCATTATTTCATTCAAACCTTTCGACTGATTTGAACTATTTATGGAAATAATAATGTTAATAGATGTTACACAGGGTGAATCTCCAGGAACTGCATCGATCGATTGTGGGAAAACTATGATCAGAAAGAATCTAAGAATTTGAGAATATACTGAAGTCGATGGAGGAAACTCAACTGAACAATTTTCAAAATGGCGGCACCTCAGATCTGCTCATCATGGAGCGAAACAACCACCTTCAAACAAATAAAAAGCATAACCGTCCAGGAGTTGTCAACGATGAAGATATTCTTACTTGTTTTTTTTTATTATTCCTGCAAATCATTTTTTCGAAAGTTATTCAGGATGGCTCGTTTTTAATTCAAATAATTTGTAGCTCCCGAACCATAAGCTTCAGACCATATGTGAAAAATTGTGATACATTTGAAAAATTGGTGACATCGTGCGATAGGGAAAGTTGGATCAAATGTGAATATGTCAAAATGTATCCCCCTGTATACNCCATGTCGTGCATAAACCAAATGTTGCCTCTTACAAGTACTTCTTCTAACAAAATGGTAAATGATATCGCAAAAAGTCCTTGTAGAAATCACCTGTTGATCTTGGTGATGAAAAATGGGCCAAATGGGTAGTCACCAACTATTCCTACTCGAGCATCCAGCTAAAATTGTTGCTGAAAATGATTTTCTCCAGTACCGTGGGGATTTTCGTCGGCCCAAAAATGGTCAAGTTCATGACAGCAGCCTGTGAAGAAATTGCTTCGTCCATAAATAAAATATTAGGTGGAGAATCATTATTGTGTGTCATCGTATGAATCAACCACCTGCATAACAAGGTGAACATCTTGAGGCAATAGAGCTCACACCTGCTATATGTGATATAGGTATAGGAGGTTTTTTTCAGAAATGTCCATACGGTTTTTGGGCTGACTTCCAGCTGCAGTGCAATCTTCCTGATACATTCAACAGTTAATAATAATACTCTTCTATACTACAATAATAATAAATTAAACGCTTTTATTTCCTTTTCCCTCACCGATTTATATGTGATGATGATATTTTGACTGCCACCAAAGAAATAAAATCTAATGCTTTACGTATTGACAATATAAATATCAAGATGATTTTTTTCAGCGATACCACACATATTTTCAACGAGTCCTTCAAACAGGTTATTTTTCCAGATGTTTGGAAGGTTGCCAATATAATTCCAATTCCGAAAAAGAATGCACCTACCACTTTCAGTGGCCTACGCCCTATCAGCATTCTGTCCTCATTCTCGAAAATATTCGAGAAAAATGTTTCCTGTCAAGTAAGAGCTTTTCTTGAAGAAAATCGAATACTCCCGTACGAGCAGTCTGGGTTCCGCAAAAAACACGAAACACACACTGCCTCTTGAAAATAATCAACGATTCTACGTACTGCTTGATCAAAGTAAAGCTTTCGATTCAGTTAATTTCGATTTACTCATCAGCAAGCTCAAGTTCATAGGATTTGATGATATTTCTCTCAAATAGATGACCAGCTATCTCACAGGCCGATCACAGAGGGCCAAACTGAATTATTACAAATGGTCATCCCTAAAAGAAACAATCTCAGGTGTACCACAGGGAAGCATTTTAGGACCCTTGATGTTTTCAGTGTTTATTTTTCATCACCCCACTTTCTTATCACATTGTCAAGTACATCTATACGCAGATAATATGCAGTTATATTTGTCTTCTCATAACACCGACACAGAAAGATGCGTGGCAATTAAATTGTTGAATTGACCAAAATAATGTTATGAATATAAAGAGTTATTAGCAACTATATGATCTATTATTTGTTTCTCTTCTCTATCATTGTTATGATAGTAAATAATATTTGGGAGGGGTGGAAGATAGTTTGCTAACCCTTTTCCCCTAATGCATTAATGTATTTTTCATGCAAAATAAACGTTATAATCATTATTATTATTATTTAAAGGACCATCAAGTATAACTTCTTCTAGTACAGGCGTTCTTACAGTTTCAGGCCTTCCACTACCTGCATTTTCATCGAAACTCACAGTTTCAAATGATCTTGTTGTTATGGCACATAAAATTATAACTCTATTAAGATATCTGTCCAGGTAAATTATCCGTGCTTCTTCAACATTTGCATTTGGTCATCCATAAATAAAGTGCATGTCAGCCATTTCCGCGTAAATAAATATATTCATGATGGTATCAGTGTAAGTAAATTTATTCATGATGGTATCACCGCTAAATGACTACAATGACTTTCACTAATATGACAACACTATCACTGTCAGATGGTCTTCAAAGCAGTTGTTCAGGATATGCAAAGTTGCTTCAATTATTTTTCTCGAAAGCGAAGCTAGATATGAAGAAAACACAATCGACGAAAAAGTTGTATTTTCAGTTGATTGATCCAAAAAAATAATAAACTACAACAACAAGTCCTGGTGGCATACTTTTTTCCCAGAATTGTTGGCTGCGGTGTCCACTGAGACTTCAATGAACCTAATAATTTCAATCTAGTTAGGGTTAGGGCCTTATCATTTCAAATTTCTGCAGCAAATTTCAACCAAATCGGTGTAGAGATATTTGTGATATTTTATAAATACCTCGGACATATGTCCACAAAACCTTTTTTTCTAAAACGACCTAACAAATTACCCTCTGACGTTTCGTACTGTAGTTATGAAACACCCTGTATTATATATTGTCAAGATGAATTATCTACCTCTCCAAATAATATTCAAACAATATTCAAAATTGATTTCGAAAAATGGAACTGAAGCATTCCGAAAAAGTGTGGACCAATAGAATGAAAAATAGAACAAAGAATGATGATAACTATTGAATTTTCAAGGCTGAATGTCTGGATAATGTTGGATTCTGTGGTAATTCATGGAGGGATGCCAATAATATAGTGAGATATCAAAAAGTGTTGTAGTTCCGGTGTGTGAAAACAATAGTTGTTTCTGTTTTTTCTCATTGTTTCACAAAATGAAATTTTCAACAAGTAAATATAATATTATTCCAGATATATCGTGTATGTATTCCAATAGCAATCCATGGGATTGGAGAAGGAAACATTCCAGAAGCAGGTTTTTCTTTGAAAAAGTTTTTTGGGAAAAAACTTTTGGATTTCAATTCATCCATCTTTATACAAAAAAGTGGAAATGTTCCATAGAAAGGAATGGAGCAATTAATTTCAGAATGAACTCTTCACAAAGATATGTTGATCATGCAAAGAAATAACATCCAGACACGAACTCTAATTAGCAACTCTCGAAACAGCTTCTTCCATATGAACAACAAAATATTATATAAACATCGAATTATACAAAAAACACTTTTTCACATTCAATTTTTACTCCTAACGTTCGTTATGAAATTGAATCAGATATCATTCACAGGAGTGCTATACAATAAAGTATATGGAAGAGGTGAAATTTCACTTACAGGGAACACTGAAATTCTCAATGGCGGACATCCGAAGTTTCGGAATAACGCATTTGCCTTATTGCCTCTTCAGCATCAATCTGAATAGCATTACAATATAAAGCACTAAAATCGTTCATAAAATAACGACTTAATGTCACGAATGAGTTAAATCTACGTATGACATCGATGACAGTGCGTAATGACATTCATTCGCTGAGTTGATTCAATCCCAGCCAAAGGAATTTCGTTTAAATCGAAAGGGGTGTATCTATATTTAGTGAATATCAGTTTTTGGAGAGAAGGGTTTAAGACGAATTATTTATCAACCATAAATCACAAAGGTGATTCAGATGAAAATTTACGGAAATATACATATATACTATGGAAATAAATACAGTACCTACATGTACAGTTTTGAACTATACTTCAAACATAACATATAGTAACCTATATATGAACCTATATCCATATCACACGATCACGCACATAATATTAATGATAATAATAATACAGCTGTAGGAGATGTATCAACTCGATGACCCAAAAAATGATGCATCTCTATAGGAGTTTGCATCCCAAATCGTCCGTTCCACGGTTGTACTTCCCCGATTGTACTTCCCCGACAACAGGTAGGCCGTGGACTTTTGAGTTTGTAGTGTCTACATGACAGAATAGTACTGGATACAGCCTGTAAAGTCGTCAGGAATTCGGATCCCCTTCTCTGCATGGTCGTTACCATTAGGGCAACTGCTCTTTAGGGCAGCTTCCCGAGCAGCTGATGAACTCGGTATAGTTTTCGACACTGAACGAGGTGACCACAACTCTGTCACCGAGTTGGAACCCGTTCAGCAAAAAGCTCAGATAAAAGCCGCAGAGATCACCTTACTTCTGCGGAAACACAAGGATAAGCCAATGCATGGGGTCTTCTTCAATGTTTACAAAAAAGGATTTGAAGCTTTAATAACTTCTGCTCATTATATGCGAGCGCTTTCGATAGCAGGCTGTTCTATCATCTTCATGGTTTTACTCAAGGTCAACGCTTTATCTTCCTGTTTGTTCTTTCATACGGTTAAACGCCTTAATGCAGGTATGTGTTCTCTCCTATCTTCCGGATATCTCTTTGAATTTGCCTGTATTTGGGTTACATCAGGAAATA